ACAAGGTTTTCTTTTTGTTATGTGTCTTTGTTTATTACTGTGACCCCTTAAGTTTTATATCAATCCAGATGAGGGTAACAAAGCTACACAGAGTCACTTGCCAAGGTTGCTTTGTTTGGTATCAGGGTTTGAACTCAGGGCCTTGTGCTTGCCAGGCGCCACTGAACTAAATCCTTGGCCCAAATCACTTACCAAGGTATGTACTCCAGTACCTGAAGATGGAATTAAATATTTACTTCACTTGATTTTCTTGAAACACTTACACCCTATTACTTTCATATCCAGATTCTGATGCTCAGACATTTTCTCAGTCCTGAAAAGCATGCATACTGTGAAATATTTCCTTCCACCTGAATCTTTCACTGAAGTTCCCTTTGATGATGGTCTTGATTTTGCAAACAAAGCCATTGGCCTCTACATTCTGTTTCAAGTGCTTTGTGGTGGGAAGTGGTAGTTTTATCATATGTTTCTCCTAGGCAGCATCTAGAAATAGAATTATAAGATCTCATGTAATTAACAAGAGCATCTCTTATTCAAAATGCTTGGGAACAAGGAGTGTTTCAGAAACTCAGCTATGAGTATCCTATTTGGGTCTCACAACAGTATTTTGAGGTAGGCACTGCTATTACATCTATTTTACACAGAGGCAAATAAATCATTGTTCACGAAGTTAAAATATGTGTACCTCATATCAAATGGATTTTGAATAGCAGGCTGATTATAGAACCCATGCTTGAAATCATTATGTACCTGACTTTACTGCCTTCATAGTAACTTCATACATAGATAGTACAAATGTTTGGATGCATCTATATCTATATCTATATCTATATATATTAAAACTATAATGGCCTTGTAGTATTATTAAACACATTTTTGAAGTAAGTGGCGGCCTAACTATACACTTAGGGTGGATGTGGGAAATCGGTATCTGACATCCATTCCATTTTTTTCCTAACATTCCTGCCTAACCCACAGAAACAGTAAAGATAAACAAATATTTTCCACAGTCCTTTGCAACCAGACTCCTAGGTGTGATTTAGATTCTGTCAGTGAAATGTGGCAGAATTGGAGCAGAGAACGGGCATCACTTAGTCCTGCTGCCACACTGTTAGTGACCTGACCCAGCCATCACAGGCTGTATTCTCCTGGTTCATCTTGCCTCTTAAAATGACCTCATGCTCTTATCTTTAGTTTCCCTTCCTCCAAAGCCACAGTGGTCTGGAGGAGTTAAACCTAAATTTCTGCAGGACTGAGTCCATAAAAGGAAACCTGGCCCTTAGTAGGTTAAAAGTAGCCCACTCCTCATAAATAAGCAATAGTTCCTCCCCCTCCCTCCCTCTCTCTCTTCCCTCTCTCTTCTCTCCCTGACTTGCCTTCTTGAATAAAGTCTCCGGTAGGTAGGTCGGTAGGTCCTCTCAGTGTGTGGCCTAGTTGTTGAGCATCGCTGTGCCTCTACACACACCCCTTCATGGAAGCGTGCCTTTTTCTGCAGCAGCATTGGCAGAGGTTATGGCTAAGTTCACCGCCTTCCAGGGACGGAGAGCAGGGCCCATGGCATCCATTTTGAGTGTGCAGGTCCCTCCGTCTCTCTTCAGTGTTACCAGCTCTGGTCACTGACTGTTCTTGGCTCTGGAGAGCTTGGTGTTACCAGCTGAGTTATGTGCTACTCAAGGCAAAACTCATAAGCAGGAAGGAACACACTATCTGGGAGAGGCTTTCTTCAGAAGCCTTATTCTGTGCAGCACCACAGAATAAGAGGGAAACACGCACAAGCTCACACAGAGTGCTGTGGGATCGGCTTAAATAATAAGGTGGTTGTGGGTGAGGAGGGCACCACTAGGACCTGAGTGAGGATGACTCAGAGGGTTGTCATCATCTGTGGCAGAACTGTCACGGAAGGCCACTGCAGCCCAATCAAATATCTGCAGGACCTGCCACCAGCTGCCTGATGTACCCGTCACCTCTCAGGCATTTGAGATGCACTGCAATAAAAGTCCCTTTTGGGAAGCATTCTTCTTTCACTCACCTCTGAGCCACACAACTGAGTCACTGGCAATGAGAGGTGCGGTTGTGTGTCCCACCCCTGGTCATCTCATAGCACTGGAGGTCTCTGCACAGGGTTAAAAAAGAGATCCCAGCCCCAAAAGCACAAACCAAAAACAGAGAGTCTTCTTAGACTCCACAGGTGATCATTTCACTCATCACCACACAGGCTGAAAGGGGGATGTGAAGCTATTTAAACGCTGTCTTCCAGGCTGTTGGATGCAGGCCTGCATGAACCACTCTATGAAAGGCTATAGTGAAATTGTCCACGTCCAGAAGAAAATGACATTAGAAGCCTCTAAGGGACAATTTAGCCTGCCTCTGGCCAGAACTCAGCTGAGAAATGGCTTTTACTTTGAGGGACTTGTTCTTGGGGATTGGCACAGAACTTACTAAAAAAACGAATGCCTTTGCTGGCAGGATAGCTAGTAAGTGTCTTCTAAGACATTGCCTTCAGAAGAGACTGTACTTGGGGCCTGAAATGCTTAGCTCTGTAAGGGAAAATAGTGAGATTCTGAACTTGCTAATGCTGCTAAAGAAGGGGAGACAGGAGGCGGGCGCAAAAAGACCCTGAAGCACTAGAGGACATTCACTGAGCAGATGGCACAGTGCTCGCGTCTGGGCACAGCCGCACGCTCCGTCACCGCTTCCCTCGGTGGCTACAGTCACAGCCCTGGCCCTAGCGGCTCTCTTGGGCGGGGCGCCGCTGTCCCGCCCCAGAAATCTGGGTAGGCTGCGACTCCAGGACTCCACCTCCCAGCAGCGCGTGGGTGAGAAGAAAAAGGCCCGGCGTGAGGGTGGGCGGGTGTGATGCTGATAAATCACCCCACCGTCGACCAGTTCGCTTGTCTCATCCTGCGCACCCACCGGGCTCTGAGCAGATACCGGCTACTGAAGAGAAATCCGCCAGCAGGTGAGAGTGGGCGGGGCGCGCGCAGTCAGGAGAGGGGGACCGACGCCACTCCGCCGCTGGAGAAGGGTGCCGAGTCTGGGACCTGCGAGGTCCGTCCAGGGCGCGATCCCGGGGGAATCCGTGGGACCCTGCGGGGCTAGGAAAGCTGACGGTGAAAACCCGTCTGAGACCCCAAAGTGGAAAATCAGCCAAAACTTTGGGGAGGCGCAGGGAGGGGGTCCCATCCTCTCTTTGAGGACCTTTCCTCCAGAGCCCCCGCTCTCCTTAAACCCACAGAGACCCATGGCCCCCGCTTCGATCCCGGCCGGCGTCCTGCACAAACCGACTCTGCTGTTGCTCTTGCTGTTGCTGCCTGAACTTCTCTGGGCTGCCAGGACGGGTGAGTACCCACAGCGCTGCGCCTCCCCGACCTCTGCCTTCCGGCGTCTCCTCCGGCTCCTTCCCTGCGGAAACAGGTCCCCTCAGCCTGGCGCGGTCCCCCACTCCGAGCAGAGGGGGAGACAAGAAAGTGAAAACTGAAAACTGAGAATAGAGGTGTTGCACGGGGAAAGGCAAGGAGAGGTGGCAGTCAGGAATCCCTGTGAACTCCACTCTGCCCGGATCGCACTAGGAATCCCTCGCAGTCTCCATAACTGACTGTGATTCCCTCCCAGACAGCTCCACACAGCCTCCAGGCCCTGCCCTGCTGCACAGCCTCCTCTCAAGTGCCCCAAGGGATTTTTCCAGGACTGTCTGTCACATCCAGGCCCCTTAGAGTCTCAGCAGCCCCATCCACCACTTCCCTCCTGAGTCAGGGAGCTGCCACCCAGCTCCCCTGTCTCCCCTGATCACCTCCCCCAGCCCCCATGCACCCAGGCCTCCTCCACTTTCCACACACGAAGGGTCCAAACCCCTCCACCACAGGCTGGCACCCTTTTCCCTGCCTGAGACAGCTGAGCACCACACCCACCTGCCCCAGAGAACCTGAGGCAGCAGTGACTGGACACAGCCACAGGAGGACCCTGGCGGTGGGGGTGGGGAGTGGTGGTTGTAGGAGTAATAGTCTGCAGTCCTGCCAGGTAGGGGTGCTTGGGAGTGGTGTCTGTAGACTTCTTTCTGTCTTGGAGCCCAGGCCCACTTATCTATTTGCAAGGACAGCAGCATTCAGTGGAGTTAATTAATTAGACAGAAATGGTATAAATTAGTTTGACAGAAATCCATGGTTTCCTATAAAATATTTCCAACTTTGCAGGCCAAACCATTCCTGCCTCAGCTCTGCTTTTGGTGTGATGGCAGCGGGAGACAGCATGCTAGGGAATGGGGAGCAGGCTTAGCCACTGTCCTGTGTTTATCTTTTCAAAGAAGCAATTCTTTGATCTTTGATACTGTTTTTTGCTCTATATTTCTAGTGTTTGTATTCTGATCTTTATGATTCATTTGCTACTAATACTGGCTTTTGTTTTGGTCATTTTTATATGCATCAAACAGAAGAATTCTCCAGGCTTTCTTATGAATCAGAATGCACACAATATTTTTCAGGCTTTCACGTTACATTCGCTCTGGATAGGGATTCTCTGATCCAGGGTGGTTGGAAATTAGGGACTTGTTATATCATGCAGTAAGGACTTGCTTCTCCAAGATAACAGAACCCAATCTACCTTCTAGAGTGCAACCTCCTAGCAGTCTAAAACACATTAACCACCTGTGTCACAAGGCTCCTATTAGAGCCTCAAGGACTTGCTTCCAAGATAACAGAACCCAATGCAACCTCCTAGCAGTCTAAAACACATTAACCACCTGTGTCACAAGGCTCCTATTAGAGCCTCATGATGACATAGCCACCTTGGCGCAGCTTCAGGCTACACAGGCTACACCTCT